GGGTGAATCTCGCCCACCAGTACAGAAATTTCATTTATGAGCTCCATGCTATTGGAATATAGAAATGTCAACATTTGCCCCACATTCTAGTCCAATGGAAACTAATATACTACATGTAGTTGGTTCGACACCTCTGTAGCCTACTAGTACCCACCGGATCCTTCAACGAAGGAAAAACTGGCTGAAGGAGGGTGTTGTTGAGGTCCTCGAACGGCATTTCGGCTCTTTGTTTGTTTGGCTACTTTCCCATACGCGATAAAGTATGGGTACATCAGCCACAATTATGGGGAGTGAGTGACCTTGATGAACAAAGTAAATCCTTTCCTGACTCAATTCAACAGGTAGATATTTGTATATCCCTCTTAGGCTTTTATATCATCGGCCGCCTGGCGAAATGGCATCGCGTCTGACTACGATTGGAGCGTGAGAATTTCCGCTTACGTAATCATCAGGAGATTGCAGGTTCGACCCCTGCGGTGGTCAGTTCTTTTTATTTTATTCTTTTTCATTGTTGAACAAACAAGATCATTGCTTTCAGTGGCAATATTGTCACATCACTCACTATGCACAGGTCAGTATCTTCTTCAGATCGTTTTTTTCTTCTTCTGAATTCCAGTGCATGCAGTTATGTCGGATTCAAAGGCATAGACACTACTTTAATTATGGTGCTTTGAAGAATTTGTTCTTAGAGCGCCGATAGGCTTCGGCAACATGGTCTGCTCAACTGAACATGCATGTCCTGATTAGCCAGCAAGTTGCAGGTAGCCGGCTCCACCTCGCCTGGAAACGCGATCTCTTTGAAACATATAATGACTGTTATCCCGACAGCGAAGACAAAGACATGCATTATGTATATCATGCTACCCATCACATACACTGAGCTCGCTTTTTCACCTTTCTGGCTGCCGAATTCACGATGACTTTCTCTTGATTTTTGCTTGGCTTAGAGGTGGGAATATTTCGTGTACATTTGGTGTTAAGCATGTCAGAATACTGAACTTCTGTTCGTAGCTACCGCCGACCGGACGTGATCGTGTTGCTACGAATGGAATTCCGCGCGATCGACGTATCATGTATGCGTTATTGAACGCGCCGCATAATGAAATTCCTCATCACACACAGATTCGACGCGCGGCGCGCGCTTGTGACGCCAGCTCCCTCTGGGTCTGAATTTTGTTGCCGATAGCGAGCCAAGGCCATCGCTTTGAAAGTCACAAAATCATCTCAGATCCTTTGATTTACGAATCAGAATCCAAGATCTGAGGACGAGCAAGACGACTCGGTCCGTCGGATAGTACCACTGATTTGTAACATGAAGCATTGTATCTCGAAAATCTCGCGCCTTTGTTGATTGGTTCCCGCCCGTCACGCTAGCCTAGCTGATACCATGATAAGCATGAGGTTTGGAATCCTTCCAATATCGTCACACGTCATTGTTTATAGGAATGCTGAAGTCTGATGGCATAGTCTGTTCATAGATAGCCGGCTGGAATAGTATCCGAGTCAGTATATAAACCAGCGGGATAACCATGCATGTTGGCAGCAACGGTTTCCCCCCTCTTGCCTCCTTCTCCCAGCCGTCGGCCCATCCCCGGGCTTATATATGACCACACATTCATCCGTTCAGCTTCCTTGTGTCTTTCTATCTCCCCCCGAGTGCGGCTTTTTGGTGCGTGCATTTTTGGCGATGATTCGGACAATGGACGTTTCTAAATTCGCTACGCTCTCTATGGGGCGTATCAACGCAATTATTTTAGGCACCCTCAAGTTGATTCGTCCTAAAGCAAGCAAATGAATCACAAACCACGGATATGGATTGTTACTAAACAATCATCAGTAGACCCTTCACGCGATGCAATATTGCGATATGTGCAACCTGCACCAAACTCTACATTAACTATCAGGGGTCATTTTCGCCAATTCGCTGGCCCAGCACGCTCGAGAGGACGATCTTGATGATACCGATGGTGTGATTGAAGACCCCCCGACGTTTCTTCTCAGCCCGGATTCAAGTTGATCAATTCATCATTGAGGTACCTCAGAGAAGAAGATAGTGAACTTATTCACTGATGTACCCCGAGGATGAATATATTTGCATAAGTATCCTTCAAAACTTACAACACGAGCATATTATGTATGTGGCGTATTTATCATAGGGCATATTGGTTGTCCTCTTGAAAATTAAGACGATTTGATCACAGACCGGATGGATATCTGGCTTTGATTTTATAATTTAGATCGCAAACATTCCCAAGGGAATACGAGTAGGTTGCACTATAGGAGTGGCAAAGAATCTGATATTGAATCAATTGATTTCGTTTATGACTCTCTTCAGCGTGCCCATCATCTTCAGATACGCAGACGCAGACGCACAAACACCTTTGCCAACAGAACCAACGAAATCGCTCAGATCTCCTTCGTCATAACCAAAACGATAGTCTGATAGATATTTAGCAATAGTTTGCTCCTTGATACCTGTCAGTGAACACAAGGTTTTCTTCAGCTCGCTCTCGTTTTCCAGGTGTTCTGACTCGAGATAGGTCCCGAGGAATGTTTGGGTGCGACCATTCGCAGTAAGGAGATGCGGGTGCGTGAAGTAACGATAAGGTTTTCCTACATATTTGACTCTTGGATGTGTCGGTGATGTGGTCGTCTCCGGGTTTGAGAGATCCAAACCGATGCGCGGAGAACAGAAAACTCGTGATTTATTCGCTGAGGAAGCGGTTGGCCGTGCATGCAAGAACATCCGTATAGCACGTTCGTGTGTCGTTGGCCTAAGGGCTGATATATCGCCATTCCACTTTGATGAGACGAGATCATTAAGAGCTGAAGTGCCGCTTGCACGTAGAACTTCGTCCACGAGGAGAGATGGGCCAGAAATCACCTTGCTGTCTGATCGGCGTCGAAGAGAACGCAGAAGGGCTCCGCCTCTGAGCACAGCGGACGTCGACTGGGATGAATTATTCCCATTCCCAAAGTACTTCGAGCTCACTGGTCCGCCAAGTGTGAGATCCATCCCTTTTCTGGTTCCACCTCTATAGCCGCCAGTTACAGTCGCGGTAAGGGCAGGCTGGGACCCTGCGCGTTTTGGTGCGCGATGGAAATACCTAGTAGTGAATTAGCCAGTCTGGCGACGGAGATAATGATAGTGAGAACGAGTGCATACCATTGGCCGCTCCGTTCTTGCTCTTCGCTTCCATGCGTAAAAGGATCCTCATGACAGCCCGACTTCTGGAAATAAAACTCCAGCTCGAGAATCTCGTACTCCGTTTCCGTGGACCCGTTAATGATTGTGATATAGAAATCATTTAAGAGAGCGTTTGCAACCACGTCAAAACGGGCGGAGATTTCGTCTTCAGAAACTAATGTCGAGAAATCCAGCAGTTGCCAAAATTCTGGCGACTCGGGGGGTGACGTATTGACTGGCGCGTTGACATCGTTGTCCTTTTGGGAGGATTCAGAGTTACTGCGTACATTCGCTGACGATGCTATGGCGGTTTGAGAAGCGGTCTTTGGGTGCTTAGGGTTTAGAGAACCTGGAGGAGTTGTAACAAAGGATGTGAGTGGAGATGCGATATCCGCGACTGGAGCAGCACTGACTTTCCGACAATTTATCACCCTGTTCCCTTTTCCTTTTACCGCTGGCGCTCATTGTTGGCGGTGAGACAGAAGTCTTGCAGACGTCAGGAACAACAAGGCCTTGAAGATAGACTCCAACCGTAGTCCGCAGTTAGCTCAATTCAGGGTCAATTATCTTGTGAGTCCGAATGCCGAGGGAGTTCATATACATATGAGTGTGTAGTACGGGGGTAGGAGTCCGAGTTTGAATGCAAAGGAATGGTGGTAATGGATCAATAGAGTGTATTTGCACCTCAATATATATTGGGCGCTCAGCCAATGGGAGCGCTCCATTCCAATATTTTTTCCTTTCTTGGCCAATATGAATTGAGGTGCAAATACACTCTAATGATCAATTATTATTTCTCTAATAATAATTTACCGTTGGGTGGAATTCGAACGAAACTCAAGCCTCAGGCCTCAGATCTCAGACCTCGGTGGGACTGTTCGTATATCGTCCAGCTTAGTTTGACATTAGTCTATAGTGGTGAGCCAGTGCCGCAGGAGGAATTCCGAGGGGTAGCTGTTTATTTACGGGACGATGCTTAACCAACTAATATCTATGATGTGGAGGACGAGATGTAATAAATTAGAAACCGTAAAACAATCCCTTGTTGTGGATACTATCTGGGTCGTGTGCGACATGTTTTAGGCGCATGTTTGTGGGGAACTCGTTAGTCCATTAGGTCGGCCTAATAATCGTGGCTTTTCTAGTTTATTTTGTAGAGGTTATTCACCCTGCGTTGCACCACACCGTGTCACAGCAAGAACTTGAGGATGTTGGAAGTGGCAGTGCTGGAAAGCACCCCAATCTATATTTGGTCGTTGGCCCACAGCATCTTCCGATTCTTCGTAGCACTTCTTCGAGCCTGTTCAACTTCCAATGCACCAATATTCGCTGGCGCTCGGGCCCGAGAACAACTGGTGTCAGACAAGATATGACGCGGTTGTCATAGAAGAATCAGCACACATGGTAAACGCATTATGATGGTAAAATTTCAACGATAGAGTATCTTGGCTATATCATATCTTCGATTTGCAGGATCACGTCACGCGTCATATGTTCTGGTTCTAAATCGTTATTGCGAGGAGCATCCACCCGAGTCAACGATCGGGAAGCATGCGCCCACTGGCAAGCCAACAAATGGGAAGCATATTCCTGAGTCGGCAAGAGTCAAGTAAGGGAACAAGTCAACAAAAGGGAACCATCCTGGCCTTGCATGTGCCAGACATATTATGCAGAAGGAACGACCGTCCTCCTTCTATTTGGGCTGCCTGCGGGAGACTAGCCAAACATGGCAGTCGGCGAAGGTGTGGCAGTTAGTGAGTGCATTTTTATTTGCGTTCTTTATTTCATCTCCATCTCCGTACCTCTACAAATACCCCGTGATTTGACTTATAGATTCACGCGCTGTGACTTATGGATTTATGGGTTCTTTGGTCGTGGGTTCATAGTTTCCTCTCTCTTGGACCCAAGATTTTTTTCTTGCGGATTTCGCGGTTTTTTTCTCGCGGGCTTAGCGGTTGTGGGGGTGGATTCTTTTCTGTGCATTTAATTCGTTCGCGTTGGAGATTTGGGCTGGGTTTCATGTTTTTAACCGACGCAGTACGCCTCGTAGCTTGAACTTTGTGCTCAACCATCCTTTTACGGCCTAGATAGCTCCCCACACCGTCTCCGGAAGTGGAAGTATACTTTCGGTCATTGGTCTTAGTACGCATGGTGCTATTCATCTAAGTCTTTATCTATCTTCATGTTGCCATCTTAACAGAAATTTCTTACCGTCTTTCGGATGAGCAGGTAATCGGAAGAAATTTCCGTGTGGATTCCATGTCAGGATCTCGGAAGTCTCCCGTTTCTCGATGAC